CCCCCCTTCCAACCTTGATCGATAATTTGTTCTTGTTTTTTTTTCTTTTTGGTTGCTCTAATTAACACAATCTTGGGGGTGGGGGGCAGCTTCTTTGATCTTGATTTTGATCGTTGCACCTCACACGTTGTGAAGTAAAGAGTGCCTCAAAATGAAGTGATGCTGATGAAAATATATACATGACTGGTAACTAATAATGGTTTCTATTGTAGGTCTTCGTTTCAGATAAAGAACACAGGACTGAAAATCGGTAGATGCTCGTATCTAAAAAAAAAAGTCGTGCTTCTTTTTCAAAGTGTCCCGAAACAGTGCGTCTTCAAGCGTTAAGGGAAGACTAGAAAATGCGCCCCCACTAAGCTGGGTGATAGAGGAGAGTTCCCGGTTACACGCAACGATAAGTTGTATCAGGTTCGTCGTATGAGAGGACTGTCCCTTTTATCGAACTGTGTTGTCTGTTTACACGTTTCAATCTATCGTCCAGTTTTCTATCGATCGAGGAGATTCCTCGTCACAAAGCCACCATGTCTCTCTGTGAAGACAGCAATTTGCCCGGGAGGCTTAGTGAAGGTTTCGAGCTCTGGACCTAATGAATGAAGGGTGAACACTGTACCTCTAGATGACGAGAGCCCACCATCCCCTCCCCTGTACATTCTGATAAAGCAGAACAGTGCCTTTAGCAAAGGATGGCAATGTGTACCGTGTTGTGTGTAGAAAGAGAAGCTTTGACTTGACTGCAGATGTGCAACGCACCGAGTGACCTTGCTTCTCTTCACCATTGACGATCAGTTAAATAATAAGCTAAAATATACACAATAACGCACCAAATCAGGTTCATCGCGAACAAGTGTGACTATTTCGAGACGCTGATTCCGAATATGAAATCAGTTTTTACCTACGATAATTATTTTTAAAATTTTGAGCACTGCGAGGCGGCAAATTTCAAAGTGAATCTTTGTCACTGCGCATCCCACCCAAATCTGACGGTGATCGCACGAAAAATATTCTCGAGTGTCTCCAAACCATCGTTCAATAGTCCAAATTTTGTACAATTTTGTGGTTACACCTGACGATTTATCGTATGATCTCTAGATTAACCAGTTTTGTACAATTTATCGTTACGTGTAACCGGGCCTACAATGTTGGATATTACGATTTGCGTCTAAGGTGGTGTCCTGCTATTGATCTCCCTAGAGAGAACATAATGAACAGCACAAGTAACAACAAATACCAGGTCAATAGTTACGTCACTCTTGACTTAATGTTCGCTCTGACTTAGTACGGTAGAAACTGAACGGCCATGCGCATTGCTAGAGTCTATTCCATTCTAAACGCGTAAAGAGAATCTCAGACTTCATCAGACGAACAACTTGTGAAATAAAAAGGGGTCGTGTTGTCAAAAGGTAATCTGGGTGCACACGGACGGTATAACAACAAGATTATAAGAGGACAGGGTAATCTCGATCTTGTGATGTGGTTTTAGACAAGCATTTATCTTTTACACCTGATTTATCATCGGAGGTGGGAAACGGCAATCGATTTTTTGTAGATAAAAAACGTGTACACCACGTCAAGAAGATACTGTTGAACCTCTGCGTACCTACTCTGAGTGTCTGCTCTTAACCGACCAACGTTTACGTAGGAGATACAACTCGCTGTTACCTCGCCGGCTTCACTTTATAGTCAAGTGAAACACACGTAAGTGACTCTCTTCCGTTTTGTTTTTCTGGACAAGGGGTTCTAACTGTTGTGTTTTGTTTTCGGTGCGGTGGCTTTTTATAATGTTTCACCTTCGCTTTCATGGATACCGACGAATTTGATTTGGATGAATAGACATACAAAAAAGATAGGAAATTGTCCGTTAACATTTAATTTTACTTGAATCGTTTATATAATCCTTTATTGAATGTCAATAAACGATTCGACTCTAAATACGACGCACAAAAGGTATTCAGCAGGTGTAAATTCATAAAGTGGTGGTCGTGTGTCTTTGAACTATTTTTTTTTTCATTTGAATCATGAAGCAAGTGTTGAAATCATTTTGTTCTTGTTGTTGAAAACCTGATCTCTTATTAGGATTGAATTATTTTTCTCTAAAGAGCAGTTAACCCAGCTTCAAAATGGATCAGACAAGGGGGATTTTGATTCGTAATTACATGCGGGTAGCTTTCTATTCTTTTCTGAACAGAGATGATAGTAATAGAATTGTCTGAAATATAGAAATATTATAATCGCGCATGTTTGGTAGAGGTTCCCTTCAAAGCAATCTCTTGTTACATCAAGCTTTATGCAGTCGATTAATATGGGGTACAGTTGCTGTAGTAATTTAAAAAAAGATGGAGTGGATGGGGATGCAATCCAGTTATTATACTGGGGGGGGGGGGGGGGGTTGTTTTTTTTGGTTGTTTTTTGTTTTTTGTTTTTTTTGGTTGTTGTTTTTTGTGAAAGTAAATTTCAACCCATTTCCTAAAAGGCCGTTAACTGGAGTGACTTAACATGGTTA